GAGAGAGAGAGAGACAGAGAGAATACACCAACTGTACTAAATACAAACTGACAAATAACTGAGTTTAGCTCATGGCTTTACAACAACATTTACAACACTGGATAGATTGACACCACAGGGGAAATGAGCATGACTCCCTTCTACTTACCATTCTGTCTCCCATATGCTTTAAAAAAACAGGAATGGTAATGGAAGAACAAATATGGCATCCTTCTAGTTTGATATCTTTTCTTTACTTTAAAGGAGGCACAACAGATGCTCTGTAGGAAACTATAGCTCTGTTTATCAGCTAAAACATGCCCGAGGCTGAAACGTCATGTCTTAACTACTAAACAGAGCTGTATATCTCAACAGAGGAAGTGGAGTACCGTGCCTGCCTTTCTTTTCCTGATGTTCTGCTTTGTTGGCAGTACTTTGTCTGTGGCTGTGTGAATTGTGTGTGACTTTTTGGATTACAAAAGGGGGTTAAGAGTTCTAGTGAAACAGCAGCAAGTAAATCAAATGCAAAGGTGATATAAATAAGATTGCAGTTACATTAATAATATGTACTATGACACTTATAAAAAAACTAAAACTATTTTTTGTGTATATGAAGGAATTGGAGCAGATCTGAAAAGACGGAAACTGTTCTTGCAAAATGTATTATTCACAGTCCTTCAGGGGATGGAGTGTTTAGACATGTAGACATGCAACGACTATAAAAAATTATTAGTTGGGGGCTTAGGAAAAAAATGACAAAAGTAGTAGTTTTTTCACAAAGCATTACATATACTTTTCATACAAACACACACAAACAGGACCATATATTTGTTGTTTCTGAGTAATGTTCAAGATACAACTGTTAGGAGGTTTTCATTGAAAATCCCCTACATTCTTATTTTGTCTAGTGCCTAAGCACACTAATACTGTCTTACTCACCTCATCCATTTAGGCATGGTACAATATGAAAATTCCATGTCACAATTATCTTGGCCAAAATAATTTAAATTTACTATATTATCATGATAAAATAACTCTTAAAATGCACTAAATATATGAAAATAATTAAAATAAACAATAAATAACACATTTTGGTTAAAAAAAAAAATGATTGCATCACATACACTGTAGGACTCATAACTCTTTAGTGGGTATACCATGGGCAAGCTGAGACTTCAGCTATGGTGACAGACTTAGGATTTTGAAATGACTTTAAAGATGTGGGCTCCCCCATGTGGCAAATGAAAATAAATCAGGAAATCAATATAGGACTGCTTTTTCTCATGTGAGCATATTCCAGATTATCCCAATTCCTGATTACCCTGATAATGATTTTTCATAATAATAATACATGATAAAGCTGTATATTTCCCATCCCTGTGAAGCTTCTAACCCTAACCCTAACATGCGTTTTTTTATCCGAATTACAGCGGCTAAGACGGAGTCTGCCCCCAGGATTGCTAAGGAGAATCTCGTCAACTTGGACCACGACCACCTCAGCTACAGGGTTGCCTACCATCGAGCCTGGCCCTGTACGCCGAGACCGCTCAGCCAGCATCAAATACACCCCAGACAGGTAACTCTCACTCCCTCACTGCAATCAAGGGCAACACAAAAACTATGAACAGTATCAGATTTATATCAGCAATTTTATGGTTGCAGTAATTCATTGATCTAATGGGATTTTCCTCAGTGAAACATGGAACAACTCAGTGATGATGACCATTTCAAAGAGTCGTTCCATGTCTGCCTCCTGTGCTGCCTCCAACCACCTCTACAGCAAACCACTGGGAAGACCAGGTGTGTGTAAGTGTACAAATCTACTTAACACTCTGAGTAAAAGTCGATCTACATCTACTAAATTTTTTTTAATTGCAAGATCTTCTCAGCTTGACTTTACGGCACATAGTTCCACATTTGACAATCAGCTCTGTAATTGACGTGACTTAAAAAATTGCAAAGAATTTATTCAAAAGCAAATTCAAAAATAGTAACAAGAGCAAATTATGTAAAGACTGAAACATCAACATGAATTGCTCTCTTTTTCAGGTTTCCCCTCTTCCAACGTGTCACCTCTGGGCTCTCCGTGCCCATCTCCTCCCGTCCAGGGCACTCCTGTCTCCAGCCCCACAACAAAGACATGTTCAGTGCAGCTTCCTGAGCCGGCTGGGCCCCTGACAGAGCGGACCCCTGGCTCTGTGGCCCCCAAGAGCCACCACAGAGCCTTAACTCACAGCCAGAGTGCCCCAAGCTCCACCACCCCTCACTGGCGGCCTCCGTCTCTCTGCGGCAGGTAACATCGCACACTAGATGCATTCATTTATTCATTCAAATACTGGAATACAGCTTCAATAGCATCTCTTTGTGTTTGTGTGTATGAGTGTCCATTTATGTGAAAATGAGGGGAACGAGTCACTTCATTAGTCTTTTCTGAGAGGACAGGAGCTGCTTCAATTATCAGACGAGAAAGAATGATCAGGATGGACTAGCATGCATCCTCTGAATGTGTCTGTGTTTCTCTGCTCTCTTTCTATCAGCTGTGGCAGGCCGTTTAACAATCGACTAAACCACGGGGCAGAATCTGTCGACAAAGGAGACAGAATACCCCATCCAGGTAAACAGCAGAGTAGAGCCTACAGTGGTTACTATTAGACATATTCAATTCAATTTCAATTCAATTCAATTCAATTCTATATTGTCTATATCTTCTATACATCTATCCAACTCAGTTATAAACCATAATCACCACAGAGTTTAGTACAATAAATAGTCTTAGGAGAGATTTGGTCATGTACAGTAGTAGAATCTCTGAATCTTAGTAAAGTAAATTATATAAAAGGTTGAAGAATATAACGTGATAAATACAGATAATGCATCCAGCTTATTTTCTAGGTTTATCATACCACAACTGCCCTCATTGTAACTTTTTGGATAGTAACCATTAACATGCTTACATGAAATTTCATATGTATAACATGTGTAACGTCTCCCTAGATGAGCGTGCCGTAGCTTCTTCAGACTATGACAGCACCTACGACAGTACCTACGAGACCAACCACAGTGACAGCAGCGACTTTGCACAGAATGAAGAGGAGGGAGATGGAGGCAAAAAGCCGCCTGAATCGAGGGAACGTTGCAGAGAGTATCTTCCAGAGGGCATCGTTCTTCACCCGCTCCTGCCATCACCAGAGGTAGGCAATCAGACAGGTTTAATATGGTAATGAGAAAAAAAATCTCTGTTATCTGGTTTAATGTGCTTTAAATCTCTCCAAAGACAACAAGAAAGACAGAATTTTGCCAATTAGGTTACGTTTTTACAATCATTTAACCTACTTACAGCCATTAGATAGATATACTTAATAATAATAACTATACTTGATAATAATAACAACATGAAAAAATATAAAATTCCTTCCCTAAATGCTGGAAACCAAGCAGTGGTGCAGTCTGATAGTGTCTGATAGAGTTTGTCTGTATCTTTCTGACCTTTCTTTCTGTACCCCCACCTCTAACTGTTAGGACAAGCCAATCTTGGCCCCGGAGCCTCTTGTGATGGCAGGGCTGGACCCTCTGATGAGTCAACTGAACAACTGGAACTTTCCGATTTTCAGTCTAGTGGAGATGACCCATAGCAAGACAGGCTGCATCCTGAGTCAGGTAAACACTAATTAGCTAGGAAATGTTGAAACCTATATGACATTTATTAAATGAAAACACATCGATACTGATTTAATTAATAGAGACCCATGTTGACGGAAAATGTTGACATGTGTGTAATTAGCAACTTAATGTGGTTGTGACATTTGCTGTTGATGGAGGCAGTGGGAAAAGGCAATTTGCATTTTGCTGGCAATAACAACAACACTAGAAAATGAAAGCGGATATCAATATGTCTGCTATAGGTCAATATCAGCCGATAATATCAGTCAATCAATATATTGTTTGGGCTCCAGTGTTAATATCAGTTAGGAATAGGTTAGGATTGTTCTTATCAGGCCGTAACTGCCTCTAAACCTCTACAGAAATTATATATGGTTCACAGTATGTTTTCTTTGTTTAATGTCCCAGGTTTCCTATAGGCTTTTTGAGGACACAGGCCTATTTGAGACCTTCAAAATTCCCGTACAAGAATTCATGAACTACTTCCACGCTCTGGAGAACGGATACAGGGTCATCCCTTGTGAGTAGAAGATCTCCATGTTTATCAAAATGTTTAAGTTAACTATTGATACGCAGCATTTCCTTTATCCACCACCAGGTGGAAGTGTTGCTTTGTCAGTGAAGTAAAGCACCACTAACAGGCCTTTGACTTTCAGATTCAGGAGGTTGTGGCTGTTCATGTTGCTCAGAGCTAGAAGCAATATCAGGTTTCCTGTTTATTATATTTAAATTTAAATTTAAATTAAAATTTTATTTAATAATTGTGTGACTAATATCAGAAGATGATCATATCTAGCGTTCTTGTTTTTCTTAAAGGAATGTGAATTAGAATATGTGGCCAAACACAGTAGTAGTGTTTTTGATTACATTATTAGTTTTAAGTGTATGTTTCCATGGATGGACATCCTATGAAAACAGGAGAAATAGTCCCTGCTCAGTGTGAAATGTTCGCATCATACACCGTGCAGATTTTACCAGCCTCTCAAAAATGTGAGCCTTAACACCCCTCCTGCTTACCACTTAACACTGAGCTTGTCTCAGGTTTAAGATTATAACAACTGACTATTGTTAATCAATACCAACCCCTTTCAAAACTATAATTTGTCAGCATAGTCCACAAAATAGACTTTTGTTAAAAGGCAGAACACCATTACTTCGGTAATGTTACAGATTCCTTGTCTAAAAGAGGCTTTAGTGTATGTTGTTTTCCAGTTCCAGCTTGGACTTCATCACACCGCCTTCCGCTAGTGAGAATTGCCATTTTATTTTACCCTTCTCAGATCACAACCGGATCCATGCCACTGATGTGCTGCATGCTGTTTGGTACCTCACCACTCAGCCTGTGCCAGGCCTGCCCACCTTGCTGACTGAGAATGGGATACACACTGGTGAGGACTTTTACTACATACAGTAGTTCCTTAAGACCAACCATTTGAACGAATGTTCCCTCGCTCTTGCCCATATTCTGGGGAATTTAAATTTCTTTTTTTGTTTCCAGTCTTAGAGTCGAGCTCAACATTTTGATTGGCTTGAGTGGTATAAACTGTGGATGTCTCAATCCCTGTGTGTTTGTTGCCCATCTCTCCTATTTCCTTTCATCCGTCTCTATTATCGCTATCTAATAAAGGCATAAAATGCAGCATATTATAATTTTCAAAAAACAGAAATCTAATCCAATCTTATGTTTTGATTTTTCAAACTTGTCAGTTTTTTCTTTGCCTTTTTGTCTTACTGTAAGTAAGTGTGAGTGGGTAATAGTAATTGTGTCTGGATGAAAAATGTAATACAGCAGTCATATTAGTGACACAGAAGGCTTTCAAAACCAACAAAAAAACACAAAACTACAAAACATACTGTACACATACACACAGTTAACAAATGATCCCATCCACATTTGAGTAAAAACCCTCCATGCTTACTGCGCTGTATATATGACTGGCCCCACAAGACTAGAAGAAAATAAGGGTTGCATTTAATCTTCTCGATATATCAGCCCTGACTCAGAGCCTTCATGGAGGGCTTCTTGTTTGCCATTGTTTATGTTCATTTACAATGTTTAGTGTGATAGTTAGTTACATAGTTTTGTCACGTATTACTCATTTCACAGTCAACAACATGCTGATGATAAATACTGTCTGTAGAGGAGGTGCAATACTGAGAGAACCAGAGAGAACCAGCAACTACTGAGGCTGGTAGCATTTAAGCACCATCAGTGACTGAGGTTTTCTTTTTTCTCCCATAGACTCAGAGAATGGCATTACGGCTGGTGCCACAGGCTTCCTGGTATCCAAGATGAACTCTGTGCTGGAGGACGGCTATGGCTCCCTGGCTGGCCTTATCCCTGGCCTAGAGCTCATGGCCCTGTATGTAGCTGCTGCCATGCACGACTATGACCATCCTGGAAGAACTAACGCCTTTCTAGTAGCTACCAGTGCACCACAGGTAAATAAATGTAGGTGTGTTTCAGGAAGGACTGTGGTGATGGATCAGCAGATGCGCTGATGCATAATGAAGATCATTTACCATTTCATTAAAACAAGGGTAGCTTCAGTTGGGATTTATTAGAATTAGGCCTTTTTTTTGTCAGGAAATTGATGTAACCCATTACTACTACTGCTGCTATATGAAGACAACTCTTCATCTTCAAATAAGAAGAGTATGTTACTCCCCACAAGCAAACACCAAGCTCCCAAACTAGGGAGTGACAAAATCCCACCCAAAACTACATCCAGAGCCTAACACCAACTATTATGTGGAATTAGCTATGTGTTGCAGGGCACCAGCTGATGTGTGGCAAATCCCTAACCAATCACCTACATAAATATGCATTAACAGACCAAGAAAGCAAGCTTCGGCTATGCAGCAAATACTCACCAACTTAAGCATGTTAAGCTCAAAACTTCTGTTTATATGCTTTTGTAATGCCAAATGTGAATTAGACTATATCTATATTTGACTAATCTATCCTATGTGAGGAACATGTAGGTTGAAAACAATAACTCCAGATCTGGAGGATAGCAGTGAATATGCAGGTCAGGGTTTAGTATCTTGCTAAGGACATTTTAGGGCCTGAAATGTGACTGTTAATTGTATTTTGAATTTCTTTAGCCCAGACCACAATCTAAAACGAAGATGTGAAGGGATGAATAAGGCCCTGTAAGCTATGGTAAAACACAAAGGAGCTTACATTTTGAATACCAGTATTGAATGTTTCTTTCTCCTCTTGGTCTTCCACTGTAGGCTCTTCTATACAATGATCGTTCAGTCTTGGAAAATCACCACGCAGCTTCGGCGTGGAACCTCTTCATGTCTCGACCTGAGTATAACTTCCTGACTAACCTTGAACATGTGGAGTTCAAGCGCTTCCGCTTCCTAGTCATTGAAGCCATCCTGGCCACCGACCTCAAAAAGCACTTTGACTTCTTAGCAGAGTTCAATGCAAAGGTAAACATTTGAATCTGTAGAACAAAAACGTGACGTCCATCTGCATTTTATTGACATCATTGGTCATCTCATTTTAGCTTTTGTTAAGTCTTTTTATTTTTTCATATAATAAAAATGCTCTTTTCTCCCAGATTGTTCTAAACTGAAGTTGACAACCAATCAGTAGGAAATTCTTTACAAATCACTGGTTTTCTCTTTACACAAACCTTCCTGTGCACATCCCCCCAGGTGGGTGATGAAGGAGTGTCCGGTATTGATTGGACCAACGAAAATGACCGATTGCTGGTGTGCCAGATGTGCATAAAGCTTGCTGATGTCAATGGACCGCTGAAGTGTAAGGAGCTGCACCTGCAGTGGACAGAGGGGATCGTCAACGAGTTCTACGAACAAGTATGCTCACAAATTTCTGCAATCAGACAGGAAGAGATTGTCTTTCCGTGGTCACCTCCCTCATCACAAATCACAAGTTATTAGCCTTTAGACAGATAGTACCTCACACATAGATAGATGGGAGTCTACTGTACAGAGTACAGTAAGTACTGAATCAAATAACTGATTAAAAAGGGCAAACACTGCTGCTAACAGAAGTGGAAAATATATTAAAGTAAAAACTGAGCAAAACTAAAGGCTTCAGAAAATTAGAAATGACAGAAGTTAACATAAAATATCACTGAATACTTTATATTATTATATTATTGATTTAGATAATGTTGACTTTTAAAAGTCTGTAAATTTAAAGCAAATCTATGTAACATTTGCTGCAAAGCTCAGTAATGTCAGTTAAATAATAATATCTCTCTTAAAGGTCCAGTGTTTAACATTTAGAAGGATCTATTGGCAGAAATGGAAGATATCACGCAGAAATACCTTTTTATTTTTGTAAAATCACCTGAACATAGGAATCGTTATGTTTTTGTTACCTTGTTGCCTTTTTTTTATATACAGATGCCATGGAATTTGCTATGTTTCTACAGTAGCCCGAACCAAATACTGGCTCTAGATAGGCGCCTTTTGTTGCCACGGTACTTTCTCCTTTGCGCTTGGAAGTGGTAGGGTGAAACGAAGGAGTTGGGATCTGCAACTACAGATGCAACTAAATCATACACACTGGACCTTAAAGTTTGATTATATTAACCACCATAAGCTTTGACTGACGGGGACCAAACAACCCACAAACTGACTTCAGACAATTGCTCTTTTTGCTCCCCATCCTCCGTTGTGAGTTCAGGGTCAACTGCTCTGCATATAGGGATGTACTTTCCTGCTCAAGGACCCTTCAGCTAGGTTTGATGTGTGTAACTGGATGTTCCCTCTGAACAGAAATAGAATAGTCAAAACACTTACCTACTAGCTCATGAATTGTTAAAGACCACTGTAGACGGATGCCTAGCAACAAATCCTGTTATTAACTAACAATGGCTCTTATTGGTCAGTTCAATCAGTGCAGAGCAAGTCGATAAAGATCAGATCTGATTTACCAGAGAGATATGGTTACTTGCCTAGCAACGACATGTTGTAAGTAGAATAGTACTAATTTGAGTCTTTTAAGCTATAATTGAAGCTATTTGTTGCACTGCAGTCATACTCATTCTTCTCAAAGTGAAAAATCTTTGTATTTGTAAACAGACTGTACAGACTGTAACAGCCGTTTGTTATCACAAGGTTACTTTGACAATCAGCAAACTCATTATCTGCATTTATTTTGTTTATTTTGTCAATTTTTAATGAAGGGAACATATGTACCAACGATATCAGAACACTGTGTAGCAGCTAGAAACCTTAAATCATAGCTGTGCTGATTACTGATAAAAAAAAACCACTCCTCTGATCTGTTTCTGAAGTGTAGCATTCTGCTATCTCTCTCAAACCTTCTGTTCAATTCTCATAATAGCTTTGAGAATTATGTATGTCCTTTGAGGGAGGGGCTGGATAGAGTGAGAGAGAGCGCGTGTGTGTATGTTTTTCTCTTCAGAGGGGAGCAGGGTGACCCAAATGAGTCATCTTTGACAGAGCTCATTCACAGTCACACAGAGCAAGATCACAGGGCTGGAACTGAGGCTGTCAGTGGCAGAGTCAGTACAGATACACACACACACACACACACACACACACACACACACACCTACACACACATATAGATTGTACACACACATACAAACACGTTAACATTATGCTCAAACATTGGCAATTTTGGGTTTCAGGGGATAAACCATTCTCTCTCTCTTTCCCCCCACTCACGTTCTTACTATAAATATAGGCTACAGTATACACAAACACCTCTCACAAAAACCACTTCTTCCAGGTTTCAGGTTGCTATAGCAATGGGAGCCCTTGCCCCTCTGTTCTCCTACTGGATTGCTTTAAATGCCCTTACATCAGAAAACAAAGGCAAAATACAAGACTGTCACTATATATGAAAGTAAAACACATAATATTTCACATCAGACACTTTTGCAACACATCTTTATCATCAAGAAATGGTGAAATAATGGAAAATATCCCAAAATAAAAAGTCCCTCTGTTAATTATATAGATTTGTTTATTTACATTCTATTAAGAAAATCAATTCATACAATTCCATTTTTTAATTAATTATCTATCGGGAACAAAGTATTTTTCTGGAACAGGCACTGAACAGGTGTATTTTTAAGGTTAGTGTGGATATGTCCTTAGTGTGTATGAATATCAACAGGGCCACCAGGAATGCAATCAGCACTATAATGAAGAGATTCTAACCATATTGGCTGTCTGAGATATGTGTTCATTGTATTGCTCTCTTTGTGGACACAAAATAGAAAAATGGAATGACAAATATCCCAAGGACGAGGAAGGAACAGCATGGCTCCACTTTGGCTTGTCTTTATCCGACCTCTATTTACAGTAGACAATTGTTATACAATCAAACCAAAAATCACCAAATACAATCATAAACATCTGATATGTTGTGGGGAGTCAGGCTTGGTTGTTGCACCCTGTCTATGCAGAGACAGTGCAAAGATAGTTAGTCAAATGATTCATGTCAGTATTTATTGGTGGTGACCTTGTGGGTAATAAATACACATTATTATAGTCATCATTACTGTGGCAAATCTCTGCTGACATTCTCATTTATATGACTGATCACTACAGATGAGCTAGTTTAAATTGATGTTTTTCTATTTGTAGTCCTCTTGACCTACTTCAGGAGACTATACACAGAGTTAGTGTATGTGGGACTTTCTGTGCTTGCCTGTGAAGCTGTACAGGAAGGATAAAATGTATATCTGAGTTTAAACAACTTGTGTGATATAGAGTTAACCTAGATGTATATTATAAATACAATATAACATATTTAATATGTAACTTAATCTTGTATAATGTAGTGTGACATGTATTGTAAAGCGCTTGGTCAGAAGACTACAAAGACGCTATTTAAGAGCAGTCCATTTAAATTAAGGCAAAGCTTCACAGAATTGTTTTCTGTTAGGAGGTGAAGCTGTTAAATATGTAGCTACACATGACAAAATCAACACTTTTGATTCCACATATTTATCAGGCACTAATTGGTAGATGAAGTTGATATGAAATAAATCACAAAAATAATTCAGCATTCATTTGACATATTATATATCAGATTTTTACTGGATCAAGCACATATTATTGATCCATAAAAGGTTTATTGAAAGAGAAGTGGTTTTAGATCCAATGGTACCAAGCATGTGACATAACGCCGTATAGTTTTTTGATAAACAGCCCTTTCTGTATGATATTGTATTTAGTTGATGGACAAAACAACTAATTTTATCCACAGGAAAAAAAACAACCTTTTGTGACTAAAGAATAAAAAAAGGATGTTTTAAAAAGTTTACTTGTGCTTAGGTAAGCTAGTCCATTAAGTGCTGTAAAGAAAAATATAAAAGGTTGTGGTATCAAGGAATCAGGGAAATGTATTTATCATTATAATAAACCTTGTGTTGTCCTTCATCCTACACACAGAAAAAGATAATCAAATTCCTAGAATAACATAAAAAATAAACTAAATATAAATCCATATATACAGTTATTCATATAACGTTACATATATACAGATGTACACAGCCAGGAAATAATTCTGCAGTGCATCTTTTAGATTTGTGTCTGGGGAAATGTAAACAGCAGCAACAAAATAGTGATGATAATATGGTTTCATCTTCATATAAAAAGAAACAATGTCCATCCACTGAATGTGCATCATCCATGTAAACACATCAATTAATGGGTTATCCATAAGTCAATATATTATTTTCATTAAATCAGTTGCATATGTTTTATTTATTTTTATTATTCCGTATTTTTTATTTTGTAAACAGTACTCTGAATATGCAGTTGAGTAACAAAGCAAACAGAAATCATCTGCAGTGGATAAATGTCCAGTTTTCTATCATCATCTATAACTTGCTCTGTGGTTCATAGAGTGAAACGCTTTTAACATCAGAGAAGATAAAAAAAAATATATGTAAATAATAAAAGAATATGTTTGTATTCATGTCAAATCAGTTGAAGGTTGTTGATATTGACTTTAAGTGGACAGAAACATAAGCCAAAGAACCTATCTACTAATTTTAAGAAAGTTAGCAAAGTTTGAATTCAAATATCTCATGAATTCTTAAGAACTTATGTTCTTTAGACTAAAGAAAGTCCTGGATTCATTTAAGGCCAAAAACTTTTTCTGTCCTGGAGCCATAAAAATATATAGAAAAATGTTCTGTCTCTCCTGAAATCTCATCATTATATAATCTAAATGTTCCATTTTCCACTGCATTTATAAACAGTATAAATACTGATCACTTCTGTTGCCACATTTGTACCCTTCTAGGGTGACGAAGAAGCAAGCCTGGGCCTTCCCATCAGCCCATTCATGGACCGGTCCGCTCCGCAGCTTGCTAAACTACAGGAGTCGTTCATCACTCACATAGTGGGACCTCTGTGCTCCTCCTACGACTCTGCTGCGCTTATGCCGGGACACTGGGTTGACCCACCTGAGGGAGAGACGGAGCCAGAGGAGGCGAAGGAAGAACAAGATACAGAAGAGGAAGATGAGGATATGGCAGATGAGGACGCATCAACAGGTTCTGACACCTCCCGTATGTCAACTTCTTAATTATTCATGTTGCAGAAAATATCTCGCTGATTATATTGAGTTGTGCATGGCCTCTAATGATATCTGCCTCAGTGAGTATTTATTCAGACTACATTATGTTATTAAACATGTTGCTTAGTGGGAGATTTGACTGGAAGATCTTGTTTTGCTTATCTCTTGGGGTAAGGTAGAAATTGTAAATCAGCACTGTTTGGAGAGGAACAGGCTCAAGTCTTTAAGCAGATGTATGATGAAAAGGTGGTTTCAAAGTATTGATGTGCACAAGAGCACTGATATTCACTTTATTATTATTTATTGTGCAGCACATTGTGCATAGTTATAACTAGTTTTCTTAACTTATGGTACTTGGCCCATTCAAATTAGTTTTAAGGTGAGCTGTGGATTTCAGAATTGCTATTGTGCAACTGTGCTATTTCATTTTTACAGTTTGTCTCTGCTAGGTTTTAATAGGAGTTGCTTTATTTGCATTTATTGGAAGGCATCATACCATTGGATCCTACAATGGAAAGAATGCCAACATGCTGAATGAAAGATAAAGTCATGTAAAGCTTTCTCGGGAGCTTGTCTAACTGTTGGCTTTTTGTCTGACAGAGCGGCAAAAAACCAAAAAGGTGAGCAGGAGGAAAGTGTTTTGCCAGATCACACAGCATCTTCTAGAAAACCATGAAATGTGGAAGAGAGTCATTGCTGCAGAAGCCCAGGAGGAGGACCAGAAAGAGGACCCAAACTACATCAGCAGCCCCACCGACCCTATCACAGCCATTCATGAGGAAGAGGAGGAGCAAGCAAGCAAAGAAGAGGAGTCGACTGATGGCCTCGATGAAAGGGAAGAGGTGCCGGCTATAGAGGAAGAGGAAATCCTTCCGCAATCAGAGACTTCAGGGGAAAAAGAGGAGGAACCAGAGTGATATTATGAACTTTGACCTCATCTTAAACCAGGCATCTGGACGTTGTCTAAAAATGTTTGTTTCTTTCCTAACTAAACTCTTATTATGGTAGCCAGCACATCACTTCGACACAACACTGTAGAAGATGTTTTGGGTAATATGTGCCTAACAAAAACTGGGTTTTGAGGACAGGGATGATGCATGCCCAGTTCATCTGACAAGGGGGAGAGAGGTGAGATGAGCAAAAGATGAAGTGACTGAGGAGTAGAGGAAGAAAATGAAAAAAGAGAATGATTGGGACTGTATTTGTTTTTGTTGTAGTGTTTGTTTTAGTCTGGATCTGGTGCCCTGCCCTCACCCAGGCTGCCCATCCTGCACTATGGGCCAACCACGCTGATTCACAGGTTCACTCCACCAGTGAGTAATACACTGTCACGAGCCCCCCCCCCCCTTCACTTCACCCTTCTTGTTGCTCCCATGCAATCAGCACACTGTGGAGCCACCCAGCTGGTTGAGGATGTGCAACAAGCCCCTTCTCCTTGAAGACAATGAGATGAAAGCCAGGGAAAAAGCTGTGTCCACTGAGGCTCAGCCATGGATTTGTGACGGAAAAAGGGCCAGTTGTAGCACATTGTGTATACAGACATACACCCACACAAGCTTCACACACACACACACACACACACAAACACACACACACACAAACACAGACACACACACACACACACACAGTACACCACAGTGCACTGCAATACAGTAGAAACGCATTCCACACTCAGAACAGATAGGAAGTTTAACAAAGAACCCTGTTGCTCTGAAAGCATTATTCTCGCTCAAGGAAAAACATACAAAACAAGGTTTTGTTCATGTTAAACAATGTTTGTCGTTAGTCACATGTTTTCTCCCCGACTCGTTACCCAAAATCATTTCAGCACACCTACACATTTCCAGGCCACAAAACTCAGGAAGGCAGAAACCCGTAGGTAAAAAGAAACAAAAAGGGACTTGCAGTGTCCTTGTCCTTTTACTTGTACAAAAATTTCTGTGCTGTGTGAGAAGCTATTGATTTAACGATAACCACAGAGACATGTGGTTCGCTTTGTGAATCACAAAGGACAGACTAAAACTAACTCACAAGACACAAAACTAGGTAATAAGGTAATGTGTTTTGCTAAGGAAATATAATTTAAATCCACATTTTATGTCACTTCCCAACTTGTTTGGTTAATCTTTACAGTAATGTACTGGCTAATGACAAGAATTCTTTTTTGCAATATAATTTATAGTCTGGTATGTAGGCCAAATGTTTCGGAAAGTAAAGTAATCCAGTAAGCCATAGTGGCCCAAGCCAGGGCTGACTCACAGCTCCAAATCACCCACGAGGAATTACGTCAATGAGACATTTAAAACACACAAACAAACAAACAAACAAACAAGAAAACTACCCTGTGGAGCCTGTTTCCATCCAGGGGGTGCTGTGTACCCACGAGTCTCATCACTCAATATTTCATTATTTTAGTTGCACAAAAAGGCAAAAAATGTAATGTGGAAAAAATTATATTAACCATTTCTGAGCCGTGGAACCCAGCTTACTTAGAAAAAAAAGAACAGAAAAAGAGTCACAGCTGCATAAATGTATAGTGATAATTATTATATGGTGTTAACTATTAATGTATGAAGTAAAGTCAAATTTAGGATTAATGGAATGAAAGCCTCATAGTGTCATAGGCTATTTTTACCTACAATGAGGAAATATTTCAGTCCTCAATGAGAGCAAATCAAAAAAGCAGAATGAGTGACGTGAGAATTTTACACGAATGAGGAGGAAAATGTGCTTTGACTAAACCTGTCATGGACGATGACTGCACTCTGCATAGCTTCTTTTTATAGTAACATGTTTTGGCTAAAAGTGTAAAAGAGTAAGCAAAAGTTCCATTGAAATCTGATCGTTGGGTAACAAACTCACCACACCTCTGGATTTATTTTTCCTCCATTTGTAGCCATTATTGATGACAAAGCATATTGCATAACAGGTTGTGCCGGTGCTCTCCTTTGATGTCCTCAGAGATTCAGATTGGTTGTGATGGAGATAAGTGTGAACAAGGGGAACAGCCTTAGTAATGAGGCTTAGTAATGAAAGAGGAAGGAGGAGTTAGAGAAGCCTTTTAGCTTGACTTGTAGCTGCTTTTGAAGGGTCAGAGGGGCTTCAGATATATTTTCATACTTCAGCAGATTCCCCTAGATGCAACTCTTTGAAGATGAGCCAGTTTGGTCGGATTCAAAAGCATGTGATATTCTACATTTCCAAGTTTGTAAAATGCATTACAGGGATATGCAGCAAGTGTATTTGATCTGACATCAGAGAAGCCATAGGAGCACTGTATGGATCCAGATCCAGAGATTTAGGGATGTTTTGTGTCTTCACTTACCGATTTGTGGCAGGTACTTTGTGTCAAAACTGTAAAGTGAACAAGGGCACATTTCAATACGTATACATACATAAGACTTAGATTTTTTTTCTTTTTTTGAGATTTTGACAGCACTTATTGGGGAATCTGCCTGAAACTTAAGGCTGACTCAAGAAGTGAGGTAGATTTTTATAGGTAAATCACAGTATAGGGAGTGTGTGGTTGTAATGTCAGGTATTTAAGCACCATTGATCTGTAATTTTGCTTCAGCTCTGCGGGAGGTAGGGAATTAGCACCATTTCAGTAGCAACATCCGTCAATGATTAGCTGAGATGCATATGAGATGACAGAAAATGCCCAGACATATTGGGATTTGCTGAGTCACCATGAACATTCAGAAACAAAATAGCAAACAGGCAATTTGAAACCATGCAAGCTGTGAGTTGCAGTTGAGTTCTTTGGTGAGGGTCGATCTCTGATCACGACCTGATGACCTGAACAAAAAAAAAAAAAAACATTACCGGGGAGGCAACATTGACATGAAAACAGCAACCAAAAACAGCATAAGATAGGAATACAAAAATCCACTGCAGATACAGAACATTTTATGCAACCAGTCAATGGGACATTATCACTGGATAAAAACAGATGAAGCAACCTCTTCAACAGGCTTTTTTGCAGACACCTTCTTAAGTTTTACTGGCTGAACTTGCTCTACTGTGACCCAATTTCTTAACTCAATTAGAGTTTTGCTAACGTTAATACTGTCTAAGTCCTTAGCTGTATCCATTGCACTGTTATCAAAATGCCCATTGTGCAAAGGAGAGCTAAACTGTGCAACATAATGCCCTTGACTGCTTATTCCCTGTACTTACAAAAGGGTGCAGTGGTTGAGCTTGTTTTTACTGCTGTGAAAAAGAAAGCCTGTGCTAACCAAAGCCTGAGCTTAGTGTTAATGTTTCAGTTAAAGTTGAAAGCTCTTAATAGGTGTTCAAAGTCTGATTTTTTAAAATGTATTTACAGTAGCTTTTGCAGACATTGAAATAAGGAACTTTTATTTTGAAAAACTGAATTTGGTTTCACAAACTGTGACACAGCATAATTAATTAATTTAAAACAAATTACCTCCAGCATTGATGTGAATCAGACAGGAAGCCCTGGACAAAGAAAGTCCATAATGAAAAAGAGCTATTGTTGCTTAGCAACAGAAAAAAGGCAAAGTGATATCTGACCCCTTAAACAATGTGTGTCTTACCTGCCAACACGAATGGCAGCAGTGTATTTGTAGCATATGCAGCAAGATGCAGTCGGATTTGCAAGTTCCCCTCCTGAACCAAATGTCTTCCAGTAGCCTCTCCTTGCATTGGCTGGTCATGACTACCTGTAGCAGTAAAAATTATCTGTAAACACCAGCTGATACAAGACTGATCTGCACATCTGTGGATCGTGTGAGGAATCGACGGGGCGTCTTTTTGAAATTCTGTACAGCAACGTAGCTTTCAAACCTCAGTTATTCTAAAAATAACCAAGACTGTAAAAAGCTCTGCAAGCCTCCTGCCTCCTGTAAACGACAGAAATTTGAGCACACATGAATGAGCTTGAGCTCCACGCACTGTAAATACCCTACACACCATACAGTATAGCCTCACTTGCAATCTGATGTGCATACTATTGCACTGGGGTTTATTTTGCGCCGTATCTAACACTTCTATGATCCCATGCTCCACCACTATGCTTGGGAATTTGTAGACTTTCTCACTCTCTCTTCACTTATTTGCTTGAATTGTATGTGATCACAGAATTCAAAGCTCACTAGGGATCAAGTTAGTCAAAATAGATGCTTCCCTCCTCTGATCTCCCCTCACAGCTCTGCCTCACTAACTGTGTACAGTACAGTGCAGCAATCAAAGAGACTTAATCAAAGCTGTGATAGAATCTGGGGTCGCTATTTTTGTCGTAAACAATCCAAATCATTAGAGCTTGTGTGTGTGTGTGTGTGTGCGTGTGTAGTCATTTCGGGTGATTTGAGTGAGGCATACCGGGAGCGGTCAACTGGTCAAGTTTCCTTCAGTCTTTTAAGAACAGGTTTCAGTTCTGTAAGAAATTAAAGGGTCGTGTTTTTGCAATTTTTCGCTTCTAACTAAAAATCATGTATGCTTAACATAATGCTGACCATTTTTAAAAGCTGGCTTTACAGTTTTAGACTTTTAGATATTATTACACATTTTTTCCAGGGCAAGCCATTTATTTTCATTTATTTCTCTACAATATGAAAATCTGTTTGTCCATCAGTGAACATTTATCTGCATTAATTTGCATCATTATTCAGTTTAAACTCTGCATTGCATTAGTGTACAACTGCAAAACTTTGCAAAATGGGTTCAATTCGAGCCTGCAGGCCCTTTGCTGCATGTCGACCCCTCCCTCTATCTTCAGCTGTGGCCATCAAACACAGGCATAAAGAGCCCAAAGAATATATTGAAAACAGGGTTTCAAGAGTATGCTGATAGATTATCATGTTGCAAAAATTGATGGAAACCAATGGATGCCTGGAATGGTGGTTAAACTACATCCAAATTTTTGAAACACAGCAGAATTGTTTGAAAAATGGCCACTTGTAATGTAAAGCAATTAAGTGAAATGACCTAAAACATGTGGAACCACTGGTATGATCCCAGTGATTCCACAACACCAACACCAGTCTGAAAAGCAGTGTTTTTACTGCCCTCTCTGACTGAAAGTTGCACGTCTCCTTCCTCTGACAACATGCAGCATCAGTAGTATGAGAGCAATCATATGATTTTCTTTGTCACACCTGTAACCACAACTGTGATGTCACATTGTACTTACACACCCTGGAGTACACTTGTACATCACTGCAACAAGGTGAGAAGTTAGAGGTCGAAAAAACAAACAAAAAAAACAAGCTTTTTTAGGGGGTGTTAAGTTGCTCTTAAAGTTCATTAGACTCTCCTCTTTTTGGTCCTAGGTAGTATGAACTGTCTTCTGGCTGTCAATGACAGAAATGTTTGAGACAAAATTATTTATTTTCATCTATCGTAAATATAATTGGTAAAGATTCTTGGTCACCAAAGTGTAAAAGCTCATGTCATCTGTTTCGTTTCAACTCATCATTACAATATGGACCAGTGGTTTGTGCCAGGCAATTGCATGGCATTTATAAATCTTGTTTAACAATATTTTTGTGTAAAAACTGGGCCAGAAAACAACAAAAGTACAGGGTCTACAACTAAATTATGTCTGTTTATTTAAAGCCGGTATCAGTGGTTTCTTTAAATGACGAGAAGAAGGGAATTGCTGCACACTGGATTCACTTGTGCAAACCAAAGAAACTTTTTGAACTCTGTGGTTTTTTGTGATTTGCACAAAAAGAGCCCTAAAAGGAGCATGTTTCTTGCATTTTCTTATTTGTCAGTGTTATCCAGAACTTGGTGAAGATGTCTGGATATGCTTATACTTTGTACAAGTTCTCATGTGAAGACAAGACAGGTTAAAAACAACATAAGGACCGTCTCAGCGTTCATCCAACAGACCGGAGCTCATGGTGTTGCTCACATGTTGTTACTGTCTGTTATTATTTCACTGCCGTGTCAATAGGCAGCAGTAGCACTACAATGGAACTGACCAACTGTTCTGCTCTCAGACTAAAGCCCTTGTACTTTCTTTTGATGGTTTGAACCAAAAACATTCCTTTTTGTATTGTTTGTTGTTTCAGCCATTTTAAAAAGGCGGCTATGCTCGGCTGTGCCATACCATTTTCACATGTATGTATGTATACATTGTTTGAATGCTATACTCGTCAGCTTTCCTTGTTTTTCACAGAGGAAACCAAAACAAACTTTTTTTCATCACCTTTAAAGCTAGATAAACAAGACTGGTATGTTTTTATCTACTATAGCAGACGCTTTACAGATTCAGTTTGTTTCTTCTCTCCAGTATCTTGCACTTAACACATGTAGCAATACCTACAGGATGGGGAAATTGTGTGATTCACCAGTATTTGTTTAAGTGGAATATGACATTTTATTTCTAGATATTGTTTGACTTTGTATAAAAAAAATATATACTGTACAGATTTAAAAGTATATTATAACAAAAAACTTTTAGAAAAATATTTATTTTTACTGTTTTGTAATTTAGACACAATACTGTAGCTCCTCTATTGCCAGACTTACTGGAAGTGCCTCTCGATAATGTATTACAAAGTAACTATACAATATATTGGGATTATTAGACCATGTCACTAGCAGAGCAGTGTTGATGTTGTAATGTGAATATTGTTGAATAATAAGATTTATAAATGCTGCACACGTGTCTGTCTTGTTCTTTAGTCCTTTTCTCCAGCAACTCATAGGAGGCGTTTCAGTTTCAGTGGTTACCTTGCAATATTTGTAATGGAAGTACAGCCAAGCGCAATACAGTCACACTGTTCTACAGACTATTAACAGAGCAGTGAGTTTCAACAAAAACAAAACATATATTGACTTTACATTCCTATACAAATTCTCTGTTACAGAGGGATGGAACCAATCAGTTATACATGTGGCAGAGCACAGGACACACCTCAGGCACGATTCCGTCTGTCAACAACCCGTTCTCATCCCAACTCGTCGAAGACTGACGCTTTGACGCCAAAGGAAAGAGACAAAGCGTCAGTCTTCGAGGAGTTAGGACTGAGAACGGTTTGCTGTCAAAGGGCTAGTTTACACACATGGGCTGTTAACAATCTCAAATGCAAGTCATACTTGACTTTAATTTTACTGCAATGTGTAAGAAAAGCCACAACACAGAAATAACATGTAAACTTCCACAAGAACCACCAGCACTGGGAACCTGCTGCCACCACTGAGCAATTGTGGCTGTTTTTATAGGTTGTGTTTGGATAAGAAAGGTGGACAGAGAGCCACTATACATGATTAGTAACTAGATATTAGATATTCACTGATGGCTCAGGACCCAAATGTGCTACTTTCTGTTTCCATTTTGTGTACTTTTAACCCTACAGTTCAATAAATACACGAGTTATAAGCATATCAGTAGTGGAAATTAGTAGCTAGCCACTCATAGAAAGCTTTAGACAATCTAGCCGTGTGGTTGCAGATTGGAACTCCCTCGCTTCACCCTCCCCTTCCAAGTGCGAAAGAGAAACTACAGTGGCTGCAAAATGCGCAAAATAAACAAACTTCCCTATCTAGAGCCAGTGTTTGTTAAAACCCAACCATCAATCTTATGGAGAAATTACCCAACTTCTCACTTGATTCATTAGCTCAGTAAACAGTTTCCTAATAAGTTTGTGGTCACAATCAAGTCTTCCACCATACAGCATAATATTCATTTTGTAAATTATGGTCCAGTTTAGAGTAAAATAAACGATAAAGCAGGGTATGCTTTAGGGCGTGGCTAATTTGTGACTGACTGAGATTCTGTTCCGTTGCCTATTGATCATCTAAAATCATTACAGAAACATATTCTATTGTACTGTTTAGCTGTAATAAGAGATTGTGTGTTACCAGGCAAGCTGCCATTGTTTCTTGCTACAGACGAGCTGAAATTGCACAGCCAATGAGTGCAGCGCAACTTGTGTGTCACCTCTGTTGCCTCCGACAAACTGTCATTGGGTACGCTACATTTAAGACTACTCTTGCATAAGTAGTGCACCCAAAAATGAGCCAGTAGTTTTTGCACATTGTCCCTTAATATTGGCTGCTTGAAAGTAGCATTAGCCACAGAAGTGGTTTAGATTTTGCAATCATTTACAATTATGCATTATGTCATGGCTTTGCCATCCTAGAAAAAGCTAATTCAGCTAGCAGAACAATCCTGAATGATACACATCAGGGAGATTTAAAAGTGGGTATACCCAATGCTGACTGAATGGGGTATAATATGTATACCTGCACATAGCTTGCACTAAAATTTCAATTCCAATGTACAAGAGGTTTCCGTTTTAAGGCCATTAATACTGGCAAAAGTATAAATGAAACTCAAGGCCATTTCCTTTTTATACCTGTCTGCAGATGGCCGTTGAAAATCCAGTGATTATTTCCTATGTGACCTACTGTACAATATGTTTCATTTTCATATTAACAATGTTAATATGCAGATTGGCATCCTTTGATAATATTTTTAGGTTTACGCTCCTGCAAAGTAAATTTGACTATATATTGATCAGTTTCCTTTAGATTTAAGATGAGTGTAATTACTTTATGTTCTGTCTAGTATAGATTGAAAGAAATCCCTCTGGTAATCTCATTTTCATTGAAGCTGCCATCTCTTTTATGCACTTCTCATCTGATCAATTTTTCTCAGCCTTTGAAATTTAACAGTGGGTGTATTAAATATCAAGAGACATGCTTTCCTTCTATCCACTGGGTGAACTAACCACATAGTGTAAATAGGTGCTGGATTTGTACTTTAATATCAAAATTTTTCCTTTGATCTGCATGACACTTTCAATGATATGGTTTATGATATCTACTACAATAAATAGGTAAGAGCACAACTCAGTAGACTTTTGCTCCCCTCTGTGTATGTCATTGATTCTTTTGTAAGAACACACACTGCTAAGAGACTCCTGCTTTTTCTCCATCTCTCTCATGATCTCTCCCTCCCTCCCACTGTCTGTCTGTTTCCCTTCAGTCATTCCTCTCTCCTGATAGTCCGTGTCCCTGTTAGATCTAACCCTGTGGAGAGTGAGCATGCATGGGAAATGAGCCTTGAGAGACAGGAGAGAGGATGAAGAGCAGCATTGCTCGAAAGGTCACTTTTGTGCAATATGAGAAACCATTTTCCAGAGAGTGTGGAGTCTCCTCACCAAATGATGAACTGTAATGCACAACTGCACAATCTTGTTGTGTGAAGAGGAAGACGAAAAGGAGATTTAGCCGATTTCCTATTGACTTAGTTGTTCAGTTTTGACGGACAATTTCAAAAAACAATTTTTACATGTAAATGGAATTTTCTGATTTAGCCACCTTTGTGTGGACATTAATTAAAGCAGCCTTGTAATGACAGGCTCACGGGGGCGGCTGTGGCTCCGGAGTTAGAGCAGGCTGTCCACTAAAAGGTTGGGGGTTCGATCCCCGGC